AGCTTCAACGATAATCAACATAAGGCCAATCTTGTTTAATAAATAGTTGTACTCCTCCGTTATTTTGAAGCAAATTCAAGATATATAATTTCAAGTAATGCTTCTTAAGACCAGACATTAAGTTCAAGAATTTATCTTTCAGCCTATTGTGTTCTATAATCTGTTGCCAATGCACAATAAGTCCTACCTAAGTTTAAGAAAACCAAAATTCAGCATTTTCTGTACTCTTCCCAGTCATCCATCCAGGTAGCCTTGTGTTCTGGTTTTAAAGGCAAGTCACATTTTTATGATACAGAATAGTAGTTATCTACCAGGACATACAAAACTTCATTAATATCTGTTATGTTTTTCCCAGGTTAACACATATTTAAATACTTATAAATATAAGTATAAAGGTTAATCTTTAAAATGGCATGGTTAAAAAACTATTACATGGTTAAAAATATGACCCTGAAGGATGCTTTGTTTTTTTCTACTAGCTTAAGGAAAGAAAGAGTGTTTGAAATAATTAAAATGTCTGTATTTTGTACAGATTTCTGGACACATTAGCTCTTATTTTCTTATTAGTCACACAATAGAGATTCAAGAAAGTAATTACAAAGACAAAAATAAAATAATTCTATATTTCCACAAAAATGCCAGTAGTCATCAATGTATCTACGGATCACCTATTTAGAATAGAATTTTGAGTCAAATTCAAAGCTTATTTTCAAATAGTCTCCTGGAATGTCATTTATTACTTGAAACTTGACACTGTGTTTAAAATCATATTCAATAATATAGAACTCTTTTTCTTATAGCTAAAAGCCAGTAAAATAGTCATATATTCTTAGAATATCCCTAGCAGTTCCTGAGAAAATTTTCTTAAATTATATCCCATATCCAAGTTCATTTCAATCCTCAAAAGTTGGGGAATGGGGCCACAAATAACATATAGGTGAAAGAATAATTTTTAATTCCCTGGTTTTTTTTTGTTTCTTTGTTGGTTTTTGAGACAGGGTCTCACTCTGTCACTCTGGCTAGAGTGCAGTGGCATCATCATAACTCACTGCAATCTCAAATTTCTAGGCTCAAGCAATCCTTCTGCCTCAGCCTCCCTAGCAGCTGGGACTACAGGCACACACCAACACACTCGACTAATTTTTTTAAAAATTATTTTTAGTAGAGATGGGGTCTCACTATTGCCCAGGTTGGTCTTGAACTCCTGGCCTCAAGTGATCTTCTGGCCTCAGCCTCCCAAAGTGCTAGGATTATAGGCATGAGCCACTGTGCCTGGCCTAGTTCTCTGTTTTGTCTTTTTTACAGTGTCTAGTCTTGGAAACTTCTCTTGAGCAAGCATATACTACAAGAAAGAAGAATGTCAAACTATTTGTAGTATTTGACATTACAGCATTAGGAAATTAAAAACTTGGAAGATAAGAGAATAAAAGATGTTACCATTTTTACCATTAAAGGAATAAAAAATGCTTTACTAGGGTTTCGAAATGAATAACTGAAGTTCGAATCTTCCTCAGAAAAGATCTTTAAATACAAACAGACTCTACAAACATCTGAAAAACATCACCTCAAAGGAGTGTTCTCCTGTCATAGAAACAGAAGAGTAGTAGCAGTGAATCTGGGCTTTCAGTTGTTTCTCTAAGAAGAATGCATTTACTTCCTTACCAATTTACCCTTATAAAAATAGTATCAGCTATAGAAATGGTTTTAGGAGTAAGAATTTTACAACACGGCACTAGAGATAAATAGACAATAAACTTCAGGAATGGAAATACCACCAGAAGAATTAGTAGTGAACCACTGCAACCAATCAAGCAACCCTGACCAAAGAGCTCGCATCAATGCAGGTTGAGAGCTGCCCCATGAAGAATGGTTTAAGTTGACACTAGGTTAATTATTAGAAGAAAGTGAAAACTATATCAGCGATGTAACCAATAAATGCCTCCTTTAGATGTTGGAGCAAAAATTAGGTGCAGTGAAAACTTACAGGATGAGAAATATATTGCTATCGATTTACACTACCTTAAGTACAAGCACTCAAAGGGAAAGCCAACTGTAATAAACTAAAGAAAAAAAATAGAACTCACGGGAACCAAAGGGGTGTCTTCAACAGGAAACTTGGAATCAACTGAAACACACAAAGGTTCATTTTTCTCACAGCTCTGCTGGCTGATAAGCGTGTCTGCGTAGTTTGGCTGGGAGAAGATCACATGACTCTTCTGCAAGTCGGAGGTGAGAGCGACTTCTTGGGAATAGGTCTGTAGGAAAGCCCGCACTCCGTCCACACCCACAAAGTTTGTGGTGGGCACACCAGCCAAACCACCACTTGTAGCCCGCAGCAGGCGAGAGGAGTGCCAGCGCCGCAGCCTGAGGGCCAGTAGCATGATGACGAAGGCCAGGAAGATGCAGGAGACCGCAGCAACAGCCACAACAAGGTACATTGTGAGGTCTGAGGCCTCTGGATCCTCGGAGATCTCAAGACTGCCAAGGCCAACAAGGATGTCTGGGATGCTGTTGGCCACAGCCACGGTGAGTGTGACGGTGGCCGAGAGAGGGGGCTGGCCGTGGTCCTGGACGGCCACCACGAGGCTCTGCTTGAGCGAGTCTCGGTCCAGCAGGGCCCGCGCTGTGCGCACCTCACCAGTGTGCAGCCCCACCGAGAAGAGACCAGGCTCACTGGCCTTGAGCAGGCGATAGGATAGCCAGGCATTCTGGCCTGAGTCTCTGTCCACTGCCACCACTTTGGTCACCAGGTAGCCAGGTTCTGCAGAGCGGGGTGCCAGCTCCACCCCAGTGGAACTGTCGGTGGGGAAAGCAGGGTACAGGATCTCAGGGGCATTGTCATTCTGGTCCAGTACAAACAGTCTCAATGACACATTGCTGCTAAGTGGTGGGTTCCCACTGTCACTTGCTCTTACCTGCATTTGCAGATCATGAAATTGCTCATAGTCAAAGGAACGTAGTGAGTACAGCACACCAGTGTCTGAATTAATAGAGACATAGGAGGAGAGAGGAGACCCTTGGATGGTGTCCTCTGCCAAGGTGTAAATAACCCTCGAGTTCTCGTTGCTATCAGGGTCATGGGCAGTCACTGAGAAGATGGAGGTACCTCTGGGGTTGTTTTCAGGGAGGTAGACTGAGTAGGAGGCTTGAGAGAAGGCAGGTGGATTATCGTTTATGTCGGTCACCTGCAGGGTGATGTGAATTTCCGTGGACAGGGGCGGGGTTCCTCTGTCTGTTGCGATCACTGTAATGTTATACTCAGAGGCTTTTTCTCGGTCAAGAATTTCAGCTGTCGACAATCTATAATAATCTTCTTCTAAATTTTCTAATTTAAAAGATAGATTCTCCTGGATAGAACAGACAATTTGACCATTCTTCCCAGAGTCTCGGTCATGAGCATTGAAAAGAACGATTACTGTGCCCTGAGGAGCATCTTCCCTCACCGGGCTAAAAAGAGAAGTAATGGTCACTTCTGGTCTATTGTCATTGACATCTTCCACCCTAATTAGTACTTTTGTCCGTCCTTTTAATCCCCCACCATCTTCAGCTTGTATTTCCATTTCATAAAATGAACATTCTTCATAATCTAGACTTTTTGCTGTTGATATTTCCCCAGTTTTTTCATTAAGCTGG